GAACCCGTAATTATTGTACTTGACGAATAACTATCTTGGAATGTATCTTCTTGTAGTCCAAGAATTACCCGATGATGAACTCCTTTGCAGATTTCATGGAACTATACACGTTGTACATCATATTGTCCAAGTCATGCAAAATGTAATTCCTGTATAGAAAATCTGAATGTTTTCAAGCACTTAATATGATCAATGATGCCCTCTCAATTAGAAATTTCGCCAAATTGAGATTGTAAGATAAAACAACATCTTTGTTGCCATCTTTTGAAGTCAATCCCCACTAGATTTTTTTTATTTTTCTCCATGTGGAACGAAGGTTAGATGAATGGCAGGGACAATCGAAATTGGAGGAGCAACAACTCAAGTGACCTGAGTAACATCAGTTGTATTGTTATTAATGGTAGTCATTTCTGATACGCAAATAGAAGATAAACGAAATCAAGTTTAATACCATGAAAGAGTAGAAAAGTTAAATCGAAAACGAAATACAATTTAACCGAGTATAATTGAAATTTAATAAAGAAATCGCTTAAGAAAAAATTATCTTAAGATTGTTGTTTGTAAATGTATAAAGTGATATCTTTATTATAGTAATTCAAACTTACCAATACTTACTCATAATTAAATGGAAGGTTGGACAGAATAACATCAAATGAATGAAATACAAAAGGATCGAGGCAAGAGTTGAACTATTTGTCCTTAAGGCGAATTTGCACTGTACATGTGCCTAGGGTTTATGGCAATGGTTCCTAAGATACAATGATCAAATTCTTGTGTTTGCAGCACTTCAAAACACAAGAAACAACAAATCAAAACAACTTGTGAACTCTTTTTTGGAATGAGAAACAAAGGCTTTTGATGTAGAATTTTGGCTAGGAAATGATGTTATATGATATGCTTTCATTGCATAAAATAGAAGTGAATGAAACCAACACATAGGGGTTCAATTTATAGGGGTTGATGGGTTGTAACAGAGATACTACCCAAAAATGAACTTATTTCACCAAAAGTTGCACAGGTTGACTGGCGCTTGCTTTGGGCTAGTTGTGCCGCTCGAACGCTCATTTCACAGTCTCGCCGCTTGCTTAGAGCTAGGTCGCCTCTCAAACGATGGTCTTATACATATATAAAAAAATCTGATTCTTTTATTCAAAAATCATGTTTTTTCAATCCTACTTCATTCACTATCTTCTCATTCATCCGAAGATTTTTTAGGACGTCCAAATATATC